CCTTTTTCGCCCCTTTCTGGCAAGTTTCTGCCCTTTTTGGAAAAGCCCATTTCTTTCGCCCTTTTTGAGCTTTTTTAGCTGAAAAAGTGCTACATGTAAAATCTGTTTTCTCATGCAAGCGATCACAGTTTCCGAGGGCTCGATGGACCTTGGCAAGCCGCTTTTTTGGGGGGCAACAAGTTGGTGATGCTTGTACCCCTTGTACACAATGCTGTAAAAAGTGGGCTTTTTGAACTTTACTTCCTGTTAATGCGTATTCATTTCTCAGCTTGGGTTCATATATGAACAAAAAGTGCAGACATACCAACAAATTCTCGCTCGCAAACTACACTGGGGTCACATGATGAGATACGCGGTGTTTTCACACACACACACACCACACACACACACACACACACACACACACACACACACACACACATACACACACACACACACACACACACACACACACACACACACACACACAGGTACATTGAAAATAAAGGACCATGCTTATCTTTAAAGAAGAGGCACCTGTGACGTGTGTGTGTGTGTCTGTGTGTGTGTCTGTGTGTGTGTCTGTGTGTGTGTGTGTGTGTGTGTGTGTGTGTGTGTGTGTGTGTGTGTGTGTGTGTGTGTGTGTGTGTGTGTGTGTGTGTGTGTGTGTGTGTGTGTGTGTGTGTGTGTGTGTGTGTGTGTGTGTGTGTGTGTGTGTGTGTGTGTGTGTGTGTGTGTGTGTGTGTGTGTGTGTGTGTGTGTGTGTGTGTGTGTGTGTGTGTGTGTGTGTGTGTGTGTGTGTGTGTGTGTGTGTGTGTGTGTGTGTGTGTGTGTGTGTGTGTGTGTGTGTGTGTGTGTGTGTGTGTGTGTGTGTGTGTGTGTGTGTGTGTGTGTGTGTGTGTGTGTGTGTGTGTGTGTGTGTGTGTGTGTGTGTGTGTGTGTGTGTGTGTGTGTGTGTGTGTGTGTGTGTGTGTGTGTGTGTGTGTGTGTGTGTGTGTGTGTGTGTGTGTGTGTGTGTGTGTGTGTGTGTGTGTGTGTGTGTGTGTGTGTGTGTGTGTGTGTGTGTGTGTGTGTGTGTGTGTGTGTGTGTGTGTGTGTGTGTGTGTGTGTGTGTGTGTGTGTGTGTGTGTGTGTGTGTGTGTGTGTGTGTGTGTGTGTGTGTGTGTGTGTGTGTGTGTGTGTGTGTGTGTGTGTGTGTGTGTGTGTGTGTGTGTGTGTGTGTGTGTGTGTGTGTGTGTGTGTGTGTGTGTGTGTGTGTGTGTGTGTGTGTGTGTGTGTGTGTGTGTGTGTGTGTGTGTGTGTGTGTGTGTGTGTGTGTGTGTGTGTGTGTGTGTGTGTGTGTGTGTGTGTGTGTGTGTGTGTGTGTGTGTGTGTGTGTGTGTGTGTGTGTGTGTGTGTGTGTGTGTGTGTGTGTGTGTGTGTGTGTGTGTGTGTGTGTGTGTGTGTGTGTGTGTGTGTGTGTGTGTGTGTGTGTGTGTGTGTGTGTGTGTGTGTGTGTGTGTGTGTGTGTGTGTGTGTGTGTGTGTGTGTGTGTGTGTGTGTGTGTGTGTGTGTGTGTGTGTGTGTGTGTGTGTGTGTGTGTGTGTGTGTGTGTGTGTGTGTGTGTGTGTGTGTGTGTGTGTGTGTGTGTGTGTGTGTGTGTGTGTGTGTGTGTGTGTGTGTGTGTGTGTGTGTGTGTGTGTGTGTGTGTGTGTGTGTGTGTGTGTGTGTGTGTGTGTGTGTGTGTGTGTGTGTGTGTGTGTGTGTGTGTGTGTGTGTGTGTGTGTGTGTGTGTGTGTGTGTGTGTGTGTGTGTGTGTGTGTGTGTGTGTGTGTGTGTGTGTGTGTGTGTGTGTGTGTGTGTGTGTGTGTGTGTGTGTGTGTGTGTGTGTGTGTGTGTGTGTGTGTGTGTGTGTGTGTGTGTGTGTGTGTGTGTGTGTGTGTGTGTGTGTGTGTGTGTGTGTGTGTGTGTGTGTGTGTGTGTGTGTGTGTGTGTGTGTGTGTGTGTGTGTGTGTGTGTGTGTGTGTGTGTGTGTGTGTGTGTGTGTGTGTGTGTGTGTGTGTGTGTGTGTGTGTGTGTGTGTGTGTGTGTGTGTGTGTGTGTGTGTGTGTGTGTGTGTGTGTGTGTGTGTGTGTGTGTGTGTGTGTGTGTGTGTGTGTGTGTGTGTGTGTGTGTGTGTGTGTGTGTGTGTGTGTGTGTGTGTGTGTGTGTGTGTGTGTGTGTGTGTGTGTGTGTGTGTGTGTGTGTGTGTGTGTGTGTGTGTGTGTGTGTGTGTGTGTGTGTGTGTGTGTGTGTGTGTGTGTGTGTGTGTGTGTGTGTGTGTGTGTGTGTGTGTGTGTGTGTGTGTGTGTGTGTGTGTGTGTGTGTGTGTGTGTGTGTGTGTGTGTGTGTGTGTGTGTGTGTGTGTGTGTGTGTGTGTGTGTGTGTGTGTGTGTGTGTGTGTGTGTGTGTGTGTGTGTGTGTGTGTGTGTGTGTGTGTGTGTGTGTGTGTGTGTGTGTGTGTGTGTGTGTGTGTGTGTGTGTGTGTGTGTGTGTGTGTGTGTGTGTGTGTGTGTGTGTGTGTGTGTGTGTGTGTGTGTGTGTGTGTGTGTGTGTGTGTGTGTGTGTGTGTGTGTGTGTGTGTGTGTGTGTGTGTGTGTGTGTGTGTGTGTGTGTGTGTGTGTGTGTGTGTGTGTGTGTGTGTGTGTGTGTGTGTGTGTGTGTGTGTGTGTGTGTGTGTGTGTGTGTGTGTGTGTGTGTGTGTGTGTGTGTGTGTGTGTGTGTGTGTGTGTGTGTGTGTGTGTGTGTGTGTGTGTGTGTGTGTGTGTGTGTGTGTGTGTGTGTGTGTGTGTGTGTGTGTGTGTGTGTGTGTGTGTGTGTGTGTGTGTGTGTGTGTGTGTGTGTGTGTGTGTGTGTGTGTGTGTGTGTGTGTGTGTGTGTGTGTGTGTGTGTGTGTGTGTGTGTGTGTGTGTGTGTGTGTGTGTGTGTGTGTGTGTGTGTGTGTGTGTGTGTGTGTGTGTGTCACGCTCCTTATAAAGAAGAGGCACCTGTGACGTGTGTTTTTGTGTCACGCTGAAGCGCTGCGGAGCAGCGCTGCCCTGAGCACGCGAAGCGTGCGAACAGTGTAGCACAGTGTAGCTAGCGGCCGCAGAAGCACTGAGCACGCGAAGCGTGCGAACGAAGCGTGCGAATCGTGTAGCTAGCGGAAGCAGCCACAGAAGCACTGAGCACGCGAAGCGTGCGAATCGTGTAGCCACCACCAGGTGCTGAGCACGCGAAGCGTGCGAACAGTGTAGGTACTAGGTGGTAGCAGACACGATCAGTACGAGTAGCAGTAGCAGCCGCGCGCAGAAGCACTGAGCACACGAAGCGTGCGAATCACGTAGCCACCTGACCTAGCCTAGGCCATAGGTAGCACTAGCAGCCGCACAAGCGCTGCGGACCACGTGAACCGTTCTCTGCAAATAGAAACATCTGCAACAAAAGGATACAAAAGATCTGTACTGACTGCACTCTGCATCTGATCTGCAGTGAAGAGCGCATCGCACTTTTGTTCGTAAGTTTATGAATTTTTTGAGCCGCTTCATCCGCCACCAGGTGATGGACAACCCTGACCAGCCTCCCGAAGGCGTAACAGACGTCCCTCCTTCTCCTTCCAACGATGAAGAACCTCCCTCAACAGGACTTCAGCGGTCTGGCCACCACCACGTGCTGAGCACGTGTGCTGTTCATATACTTGCTTCACCCGCATGCCACATTCGGCCAGGCAACGCTGGCCGGTGGTGCTGCTAGTAGTTGATAAATATGGTGGTAAAGACACACCTGGCAATATGACGGTAAACACACGCCTGCCCACACACGCTCTCTAGGCTGCAAAGTTCTGGCACAGAGCTCTCCTTCTCACCACCACCACCATCAGTTCGCGCCTGGCGCCTGGTCGATGCATGGCTGGCGGTATCCGGCATAGCAGGCTGGGTACATCAAGTAGCGCATGGCACATAGATGATGACACAGCAACGACATAGCTCGATTGCGACGTACGTTTCGTCCCCGCTGGACTCATCAGGCAATGCCAATATTCTTCTTGGATGTCTTCATACGGAGCTTGACTCGGGAGAATGAAGCTGAAGACACCACTGCAGCTGTACTTATGGATGATATATGAATATGGTGGTAAAGACACACCTGGCAATATGGCGGTAAACACACGCCTGCCCACACACGCTCTCTAGGCTGCAAAGTTCTGACACGGAGCTCTCGATCTCCTTCTACGTCGCAATCGAGCTATGTCATTGCTGTGTCATCATCTATGTGCCAGCCGCTAGTTGATGTACCAGCCTGCTATGCCGGATACCGCCAGCCATGCATCAACCAGGCGCCAGGCGCGAACTGATGGTGGTGGTGCCCGCCGTGCTAGTGGTGGTGAGAAGGAGAGCTCTGTGCCAGAACTGTGCAGCCTAGAGAGCGTGTGTGGGCAGGCGTGTGTTTACCGCCATATTGCCAGGTGTGTCTTTACTCTTTACCACCATAATTATATCAACCATAAGTACAGCTGCAGTGGTGTCTTCAGCTTCATTCGACCGTGCTTATATTAGAGATAATACGGTGTATACTTAGTCTTTGTCTAACCAGAAACAGGTTTACAGGACTGGTACTCTCACTACTGAGTCTGAGGTAGAGAAAGAGGCAAGAGTCTAAGAGAGTGTCAGAGTGACCATGGTTACAGAACATGACATTCATGCATGTACAGTGCCATGGGAACGTTCGTTTTGTTTGAATTTATCGCCTTGGTAGATCTCTACTAAGTACTAGTACTACGCTAGTCTAGCTCTGCGCACCGCGTACCGGTCTCATCTACACCACACAGTACAGGCACAATGCGTGAATGACCGTGGCACTGACATCGACAGTGACCTGGTCACTGGTGACGCGACACTACATGACTGTACAATCGTCATGTACATGTAGCGTCATGTAGATCTACACGATTGACGGATTGTGTATTTGTAGTGCGATATTTTGAGTTGAGATTCGCTGCAGCATCGATATCGCGACCTTACCGACTCAGACTAGTCAGAGAGTTTGCCAGGAATCTCTGACCAGATCAGAGGCAGAGGCAGTGACTCGCCTGACTATTTACAACACTGGCGGTCACCAGGTCACAGTCCCGCTCACCAGCCGGGCAACCACCTACGAATTACTCAGGCACACTCTTACGGCCGTTCGTAATGGAGATTTGTCGTCGACTCCTTCCTTCTCGTTACAATTAATTTTTGTTTTGTTTTGTTTAGATAGCTGCTGGGACCTAAGTCCTTGCACGGCTGGACACTACGCCGGGTATCGCCATTCATTCGACTCTAGTTCTGCGTGTAAAATAATTGCTCATTTTCTTGTGGTGGCCACGCGTAGCTAGATCTACGCTCGGAGCCTGACGGGTGCCTTCCGGCCTTGCTGACGTGCGAGGCAAGCAGAAAAGCCCCTGGCCCTACATACGGAATATCCGTGCACCAGCAAGTCGCGAAGACCAGCGAAGATAGCCGTAGCGGCGTGCGCATCGGTCGCCGCGGAGCGAGTGGGCGGGCGCACCGTCTAATCGGATCCGCGGATCTCTAGCTTCGTGACCATCTACTTGATGTCATAACGTAGTCTTCACTTGCTGGCGACCGGGTTATCCACAACGTTTATTCTTGCGTGTGAGACCAGCGAAGACATTGACTCAAACAACCATTCATCAGTGTGCAATCGACGTTTCCAGAGATCATTTCACAAGGACGCATGGCATCTGGCAAGCAACAGCCAGTTGCGGCTGGTGGTGGATTCATGTCCTCCGCCAAAGCCGCGCCTCTCAGTAAGGACACCCAGGACCTGATGAAAGGTGGGTGCAGTAATTGTGTCTGTATGTCTGTGTGTCTGTATGTCTGCGTGTATGTCACTGTGTGTATGTGTGTATGTGTGTGTGTATGTGTGTATATGTATGTATGTGTATGTGTGTGTATGTGTGTGTATGTGTGTGTGTATGTGTGTGTGTGTGCACTGGCTGTTGGTAACCACCCAGGAGAATGAAAGAAAAGACAGGAAGAGTCTGAGAAAGAGAAGAAAGACGTGTGTGACCATAATCTGTGGTGTGATGTGTGTGCGGGAAAAAGAAAAAGAAAAAAGACCAAAAAGTAGGGATTCACTGGCCAGAAAAAGCCACTTCATAGCTGTGTGGTGTAGACCAGGCTGAATAGTGGCGGCCAATTCTTCAGCCTTGCAAGCTGTTGAATGGTGCAATCCCAGCACAAGTTGCTATGGCTTCTGCTGTAGCATCGCTACCATCGCCTCCGCATCGCTATCATCGCCTCCGGCGATGGGCGTCCAATGGTCCAATGGTGTGTGTGTGTATGTGTGTGTTTGTGTGTGTGTGTGTGTATGTGTGTTTGTGTGTGTATGTGTGTGTATGTGTGTGTATGTGTGTGTATATGTGTATGTGTGTGTGTGTGTGTGTGTGTATGTGTATGTGTGTGTGTGTGTGTGTGTGTGTGTGTGTGCACGTATGTGTGTACACATGAATGGTTTTACGTCTGTATATGCGCTGTGTGTGCGTGTGTTCACATGCTCTCACGTGTGTGGTGTGGATGTGTGGGGGTAGGTGTGCGGGGGCACCGATGACTTGCTTCACATGCGCCTGGCACTTCACACGTCAGGGCGACCTCGCTAGGCAAAAGTGCACGGCTGAACGGCAGAAGCCGGTTTCGGAGCAGAGAGGTGCATGTCAGTGCCCTCGGTGTCATCGTTGGTTCCGGAGCCGCGGAGGCTTGGCTGTGCATCGTTGCTCCGCTTCTACCTCGTGCCCAGTACCGACCGAACCAGCTGCTGTCGTCACCGGTGACACTACCGCTCGGAGTTGGTGCAATGCTCACTGTGACTTCTGCAATTGTTGTTTCCGCTCAACCCAGGGACGCAACCGCCATCGCTGTTCAACGCACTGCCACCGTCCAACGGCCAGAGAACGGGACAAGTTCCCGCATATGTGTATCTCCTCTCGCCGGGTCCGACTAGTCTCGCATCTGGAGCGCCATCGGGTGACGTGCTCTTTCTCTCTCTCTCTCTGCTGCCCCTCCGGGGCCCACGTGACCCTAGTGGTGGTGGCTGTACAGGACAGGACAGGTGTGGGTGTGTATGTGGTGAGGGGGTATGTGTGGGGACATGGGGGGGGGGGGGGGGATGCATACCTTCATCTCCTACTGCTGTGCTGGACTGGGAACTACATGCCAAGGTGAATTTCTGTTGCTATCACACACACACACACACACACAGTCGTTGAGACTCCTACTGTAGGGTTTTTGCTGGGGTGTAGGACTGTCAGGACACAGCACACATCAGCACACATCTCTAGGTGCACAACTTGGGATTTGCCGATGACGCAATTATGTCTCATCATGTGTGTGTGTGTGTGTGTGTGCGCATGTGTGTGTGTGCGCGTGTGTGTGTGTGTGTGTGTGTGTGTGTGTGTGTGTGTGTGTGTGCAGGGCCGGAGGCAGCTTCCCCGGAGTGGTGCGGCCGAAGGGCCATCTTGAATGGGGTCTGGCGGTCGTCCCCCAGAAAAATTTTGGAATTTAGACGGCGAATCCTGCACTCTGGGCGACTCCCTGTACAAAATCATACATCGAAACTTTTTCTCCCCGGTTTTGGACGTTCCATATTCCGACTTTTGGGGAAGTTTTTTTTTTTTTTTTTTTTTGGTACGGCCATGGCCGTACCGGCCGTACCAGTGGCGCCGGCCCTGGTGTGTGTGTGCATGTGTGTTGTGTGTGCATGTGTGTTGTGTGTGTGTGTGTGTGTGTGTGTGCGTGTGTGTGTGTGTGTGTGTGTGTGTGTGTGTGTGCATGTGTGTGTGTGTGTATTTGTGTGTGCATGTGTGTGTATTTGTGTGTGTGTGTATATATATATATATATGTGTGTGTGTGTGTGTATGTGTGTGTGTGTGTGTATTTGTGTGTGTATATATATATGTGTGTGTGTGTGTGTGTGTATTTGTGTGTGTGTGTGTCCACACAACAGTTATGATGAAGGAATCAAACCTAACAGCGGTACAGCGTCGGCAGCTTGGAGAGTCTGTTAAAGGTCAGTGATATTAACCCTTTAAGAGCCACAGGAAAATTTCAAAATTCTGCATTTTTCTTGTTCCTTGGATCATAGCTTCAGTTCTACTCACTCAATCCTCATAATCTAGGGCTTCCTGGAAAGGTCTCCGCGAGAGGAAGAGAATGAGGTCAATCATAATAGCCAGCACACCGTCTATCCAGCGCTAGATCGCAGCGACAGTACGAAAAATGCCCCAAATGCGTCCAATTGCGTCCCGCTCCAGATATTTCATTTTACTCGATCGTGGAGTTCCTATTTTTTCGCTGTGTACTCTTGACAATATCAACAGTGAAACCCATGCAAATTCGAGTAAACCAGCGTGACGAAAAGTCTCAAAATTCTCAATACTAAAGTCGCACTGCACGCTTTTGAAATTGCCGCGATCGCGGCTCAACTTACGAGTGATTTATCTCAGGAACCGTTGCTCGCAGCGCTTCACGGATTGTTTCTCCCGACAGGTGAGAGTTTTCTCTTCGCCCTGGATATTTTGATCACTGGATTTGAGCGAGATGGGACTGAGTTGCGATCTTTTGAAGTTTTGCATTTGAATGCGTCGTTTACGACGCATTCAAGTATGGGCCGGCTCTTAAAGGGTTAAGGTGGCTCGCGCCTATTTCTAAACTCGTCTTCTGCGCAGGTTCTCGCGCATCCTACGTTCGAGAAAAATGCATGCAGATTTGGCGAAGCGAGCTTGTAGCGCGCTCCAGTTTCGAAGGGTCCAGCTCACGCGTATGACCCGATCAGTCTGGGTCAGTTTCCCACCTGTTGGAAGGCTACCTTCTTGCCAAAGCATTTGGAAGTTGGACTAGTTTCGGCTCCACAATCCAGTGTGTCGTTACTACAATAGCTTTCATGGCTGAGATTGTTGGTATGCCTGTTGGCTCTGGGCTCCCAGTACTCAGTAGCCGAGGCTGGTTGGTAAAGTAACTCCAATTTCACTTCAAGGTACCAGTGCATCTAGTGTCTGCTTCTATCAAAGCAGCGTGCTGTCTATACTGGTTACCCCAGCAAATGTAGGGTGTGCATAGGTAACGGTCTTGGCCGCTTTATGCCGATGTACTCCGTGTGGTGTAGACCAGGTGTGCATTGGTGGTCGATTCACATGGCTTCGCCAGTTGTGTGGATTAGACAGTTATCTGGCGCAAGTCTTGATCAGTCTCATTCAGATCTTGTTCGCTATCGTTGCTATAAGAGAAAATCTGTGGGTGCACATCCAGTGCATTTGCAGATTTGCGTGCTTCTCTTGCGACGGGCGTAAACATGGTACATGGTACATGGGTCAGTTTCAACTTTCCCTGCCACAAACATAGGGTATTTCCCTGCCACAAACATAGGGTATTTCTTGTGTGGTAACATGGTGAGTTTAGATACAGGCGAGAGCCACCTCAACTAGTGTGCATCCTTTGGATAGCAGTCTCCCGGCGTGGATTCCAGCAGGTGCAGACATTCGTGCCTTTGTGTGTGTGTTCAATAAGGCACCCGGGGACGACAAAGCCGTGTAGACTTAGCGCATGGAAAAGTCTAATCTGGATCAACGAGTGTGTACTGTGAGTCGACAAACTTTTGGCCCATTCAAATTTCGGCTTCCCTGGGCTGAAACACATTTTCGGCTGCAACAAATTTCGGCTTCCCAGGGCTGAAACACATTTCCGGCTGCAACAAATTTCGGCTTCCCAGGGCTGAAACACATTTCCGGCTGCAACAAATTTCGGCTTCCCAGGGCTGAAACACATTTTCGGCTGAAACACATTTTCGGCTGAAACACATTTTCGGCTTCCCAGGGCTGAAACACATTTTCGGCTGAAACACATTTTCGGCTGAAACACATTTTCGGCTGAAACACATTTTCGGCTTCCCAGGGCTGAACCACATTTTCGGCTGAAACACATTTTCGGCTTCCCAGGGCTGAAACACATTTTCGGCTGAAACACATTTTCGTCCTGTACTGCTGCTGCCTGTATGCACAGTCACACTGAACATTGCAGGACAAAATTTCGGCCAAGCATGACCAGGCCGAAAATAGCCGAAAGTAAATATACGCCGAATATTTGTTGACTTACAGCACCTCTGTATAGGTGTGAACGAGGACCTACTGCACAGCAGTATCAGGTGTGTATCACAGGGTATGAATGGTCAAGCTTTACATGTCCAGCAGATAGTCGTATCATGTAGGGAGACGACACCAGAGACTATAGTACTGTAGAAGCAGAAATATTCGTCTGGAATTTAATTTCGTCTTTTTCGTCCAACGAGCTGTGGGACTAAGTTAAATGCCGGACTAATGTCGATTTGAAACTCGGGTATTGAGCCAATAATAAAAGTAGAAAGGAAAAGGACGTATGGAAACGAGTTAAGAGTAACTCTCCACCACTGTAACTAGGTACTATATACAGTCAGAAAGTCTCTTTGGTCTTTCCATAACCTTGAACCTTCCAAGTTGGAAGGCTGTCAGTTAGCGCTACGGAGATGTGTTGAAGCTAGGTGTCAGGACGTCGAATGTCTCAGTACTCTGTCAGTTTTGTGCCTAGTTGTTGCACTTTCTGACGGTATATAGTATCTAGTTACAGTGGTGGAGAGTTACTCTTAACTCGTTTCCATATGTCCTTTTCCTTTCTACTTTTAATGTCGATTTGTCCAGCTTTTCAATACACTCTTATGATCCATGGACGAAATTTTCAACCGGGCGAACCGCCTTTCTTCGGAGTTGGACGAAATTATTGACCGACGAAATGTTCTGCCTCTACAGTACATCCCTACTGAAGTACTTTCTTTTTTCCCGCAAATACATCACACCACATACTCCGGCATGAATTGACTGTCTGTAAACACCCAGTAGAATGAAAGAAAAGTCAGGAGGAGTCCGAGAAAGAGAAAAAAAGAATTTTGTGACCAAAGTCGTCGGGAATTGAACCCGCAACCTCTCGATTGGAAATCGACTGCACATACCACTGCACCGTATGGGACACACACGCGCGCGCGCACGCACACGCGCACACACACGCGAGCGCGCGCGCACACACACCACTAGCAAGGACTAGGGTTTCCTTGAACGATTTCGCCGGCATCGTCGCTGACACAAGACGTTGTTATTGATGGCCTGTGTTTCTCTTTGCGTACTTCTGTGATCCACCCATTAGCCGGCAAGCCTCTACCTCGTCAGTGCGGTCCTGCAGGTAGCAGACACACACCATCAAAGACCACGGCTCAATTGACGCAGCAGCCACACAGGAAAGCAGCACAGCGGCAAGGTATTGGTGGCGGATTACGAAGCAAAGAGGCCATCGTGAGCAGTGGCGCATACAAGCCGGAGGCCGCGCTGCCCACAGCATACACAAAACGTACGTTGTCTGCCCATCGCTCGCTTGTAGTTCTCTTTGATTGCAAACAATTGCGCGTTGTGCAACTTTGCTCAACTTAATGACACAAGGGTCGGGGGTCGCGGATGCGGAGAGGTCAGCGGACTTTATTTTCACCTAGCGGCTCTGGCTAAACAATTCCTTTCCTGGACACAATCATAGGACAGTCTTGTATCACAAGTATAATTATAGGAAGGAGCATGCAAAAGAAGAGCTTTTGAAAGATTTCGAAGTTACCAAAGTCTGAAGAAAGTGTTGAACAGTCTCTGGTGGGATGACAGCTGCACCATAGCTCAGTGGTTAGTGCATCGCTGGCTACAAGCGAGGGTCCCTGGTTGGAGACCTGGTGGTGGCAGTCAAATATTCTCTTCAGACTTTTCCCGTTCGCGTCTTTCCCTCAAACCAGTGAATATTTTATAACTTGGGGCTCCCCGCGTGCTAATTTGTATGTGTAGTGTGTGGGTTACAGTGAGGGCCTCGTCCCACCCGCCTGCGTGGATTCACAGGAAGTGTGAGTTACGAAGTCTGAAGAGGATGTTGAACCGACTCTGCTGGGATGATTACATCATCGCTCAGTGGTTAGAGCATCGCTGGCCTCAAGCAAAGATCCCTGGTTGGAGTCCTGGTGGTGACAGTCAATTTTTTCTTCAGACTTTTCCCTTTTCCATTCTCTCAATTGATGGGTATTGAAAGAGTGTGAATAGACTGAAGATGCAAACATGCAGACATGTGAACTTCAACTACCATATTTTCCCGGATATAAGTCGCACCTTTTCGTAATAAACGTACAGGGCAAGGACGAGGATGCGACTTACAATCGGGTGTGACGTCCTACTTACGTGAACATATCGAAACAATATAGCTCAAACCTAAAAGTATGGGTGTGACTTCAAATCGAGCGTGATTTATAATCGGGGAAATTTGCTACATGTACGTTCAACTGTGGCTTTGATTTGTGTACTGCAGCTCTTGACTCTGAGAAGAAGGAGAGGCTACAAGACGAGATGACGTTCGGAGGGATCTCCGCGGGCGCTAAAACAAGATCGAGGACCACGCAAAGACCGCCGTCTCCACAAGAGCCGCCGGATAGATTTGACGAAGGTAGCTTGTTGTTTGAGCCGAAGGGGGGGGGGGGGGGGGAGTACCGTACTTTCTGCTTTATAAGCCGCATTGGAGTATAAGCGGCACCCAGATCGAAAAAAATATGAACATGGTGTAACCAATTTAAAGCCTTGTTATGATGTGAACTTCCATCGCACACAGCCACACCCAGTCGTGTTGCGTACACAAAAGAAAAAGACGACAAAAACCTCTCTATCTCTCCAAACACTTCGAATACTTTCCAAATACAATCCATATATCCCCTGAAGATGCCCTCTTGGGCGGACATTTGCAAAGTACTTGAAGTGTTAGGAGAGAGTTGGAGAGGGTATTCTTTTTTTTCTCTTGTGTAGCCAAGGACTTGGCACGCCTGTGCGCGGTCGAAGTTCATAGCCAGATTTCTGGTTACGAAATACGGATGTCTACCCTGTATTACACAGTTAGTTGACCATCGTAGTACAAGCAATAGGTATTGTTTTGGGTGAACCGCGAGTACCGTTAAGTCTTGCATAAAAGCCACAGCTTCTATGACTTTCTTGGTGAAATTTTGCAGGCTTCTATATGAGACAGACTTCTATACAAGACAGGTATTTCTATGTATGTCAACACTAAAACCAGGCTTATGTGTGATTTGATGGGCCCAAAATTGCGGCTTCTATTCAAGTGCGGCTTTTACGCAAGACTTTACGGTATGTAAAGTATGGCTTACACCGGGTGAAATACGGTGGTTGATAAAAAAATTACTTCACACCCTGAAGCTCTTGGGGTATTTTTCTTTTCCTTTTTTTCACGTGGACAACCAATCATCACATGTACCAGAGGTCAAAAGAGACAGAAGCGGAAAGGGCTAGCACTATATTGCTGCCCTGTACATGAGCTCGAGTCAACTGCTGCACATAGCTGCCAAACAATAGCTCAACTACTGTTCTATTATTATCAGAGCTCAAAATGGACAGAAGCGGAAAGGGTTAGCACACAACATTGCTGCCCTGTACGAGAACTGTTCTATTATTATTGATTATTACCATTATCATTATGAAGCTGTGGTGTACCTGCATGGGCGGTTAACAATGGTGATATTGAGTGGGATGACGAAAGTGATGATGAAGCTGATGCAGACAAGGGATGTCCAGATTCTGTTTTCAATTTTTTTGGCATTTTGGGGTAAATCTACCCCACTTTTGCATTTCCGAATTTTGCCTGTTTCTGCACGGTTTCGACCCAGAAAAGGGCGGTTTTCCTGTGTTTTTTTGCTCTACGTCACGAAGTGAGAAACTTCGCAAGAAATTTCGCACATTTGGCCGCGAAACTTGCAGGGAACGCGAAATGAAAACGTGCAGAACACAAGGTTCGTGCGAAACTTTCGCTCTACGTCACGAAATGAGAAACTTCGCACGAACTTTCACAACTTTGGCCGCGAAGCTTGCAGGGAACGCGAAATGGAGCTTTGTTGTCATGGTAACGAACGCATTTTTTCCGCGGTTTGGCTAAAACAAATTGAATGTTTTAGAAAATTTTAGAAAAGCATAAAAAAGACGATATGCATTTTGATAAGATTTGGCCGCATTTTGCATTTCAATTTTTCCACAAAAAACGCGCAGAATCGGGCCAACAGGACGAAGAACGTGATGATGTTGTTGCAGAGGATGTACGAGCGCCTCCAGCAAGAGAGAACATCGCCGGCAGTGCTGACTCGAAGAAATCATTCAGCCGAGAAAAGAAACTTTCCGTACTTACCTGGATGCGGAACAAGAAGACCAGCAAAGAAGAGACTGCTCGGCATTTCGGCCTGCCACATCACAACTATATCAGTCGCTGGTTGGCGCAAGAGCAGCAGCTGCTACAGGAATCGCGCGGAGCTCGGAGCATTGGCTGAGGACGAAAAGCTCAGTGGCCTCAGCTCGAAGAACGGCTTCACGCCGAGTTTCGAAAAAAGCGCGACGCCGGCATCAAGGTAAAGGGCTGGTGGTTCGTGACGAGGGCGAAGCAGCTGTTTCGTGAGCTGTATCCTGAGAAAGTTGGAGACGACGACACCAGCCCGTTCAAAGTTTCAATGTATTGGTTTCGGCGATTACAGAGCAGATGGAACGTCTTGATGCGGGCGACGACGAACGAGCGCAGGAGGAACCGGAGAGAAAACGTGTACATGTCTGTAAGTTCCATACCGACATCCGCTCAGCTGGAGAGTTCGAGAAGAAGAACATCGCTAATATGGACCAGACGCCTCTGCCCTTTGATCTGAATGTGGGCAAGACGTACGCGGAGAAGGGCAGCAAAACTGTTTAGTGTCGTAGTGTGGGAGGCTCAGGCATGGATAAGCGCCAGGCAACTGTTCCGCTCACCATATACGCCGATGGTGAACGCCGCGTTAAGCCCCTCATAATCTTCCGGGGCACTGGACAGCGTATCACACAGCAGGAGAAGCAGCAGTACGATCATTGCGTGACTGTTCACTTCCAGGAGAACGCCTGGTGGGACGAGAGTGTCTTCCTTTTCTGGGCACGGCATATGTGGCGGCGCGACGTTGCGACAGAAAAGCTTCTCGTCATTGACAGCCACCGGGCCCAGATGACAGCTAGGGCGAGGACAGCGCTGAAGGAGGAGTGTAACACCGCTGTCGTCTACATCGGAGGTGGACTTACCTCAACCCTCCAGCCTCTTGACGTGCTATTCAACGAGCCGTTCAAGCAAAGAGTCGTTGACTTGTTCAATGAGCACCTGTCATCTCACCTTGACGAGTATGTGCAGGGTACCATTCCTGCGAAAACGTCGTCGTGTCCTCATGACGAAGTGGGTTGGCCAGGCGTGGGCTGACGTCAGCAGGTCGCTCCGTTCCGCCGTGCAGGAATCATTCTTGTCCACAGGCATTGCTGTCTCTGTGGACGGAAGTCAGGATGAAAAGATCAAGCTTCGGGGTCTTCCTGACTACACGTATGCCGCACCAGCTGCTGATTGAAGATGTTTCATGAACTGCCAAGAAAGTTTGCCCAATTAAAAACCTCCATGGATATTGTGTGTGTGCGTGCGCGTGCATCCAGTGAGGGGGGGGGGGCGGGAGGGGGGGGAGGGGGGGGGGCGGGGGGGGGGGGGGGGCGGGGAGGGGGGGCATTTTTCAGGCAGTATTCTAATCTGGCTAAATCTGCCTGCAGCAGACGCCGTTACAAAAAAGAAGGGGGGGGGGTATTATTTTCGGGCACGTACTTATTTACGGACTTTTACGGTATGATTATCCTGAGCTCAACATCTCAATTTCTCAAATTTGGCGCTGGGCGTGTTTTGCATCTAAACCTTTCGTTTGTTCTTGGTGGCCAAGGTACCAAGGTACGGAATATCCAGGGTTGTGCAAAGCTTGCTGTGTTTCTCGCAGCTAGAGAGCAATCTGACTATGATGCTTTGAGCCGGTTTTTGGATACTTTGTTGTTGATCAGACTTTATTGCTATTGGTTTGGCCAATAACTGGGCTCCGCTGACGAGATTTATCAAGATTCCCGCTGCGCCACCAGAGGTATTCATGGTGTGATCACAGGTGTATTACCGATGCCTTTGTGGGATGCAACGTCATGTGATAGTGCTGAGGTTTAAAACATCTATTAATCCACGATAGCAGAAACGTTTTTTGCATGTGTGTGTGTGTGTGTGTGTGTGTGTGTGTGCGTGCGCGCGCGTGCGTGTGTGTGTGTGTTATGTGTGTGTGTGCGTGTGTGTATGTATGTATATGTGTATGCGTATGTGCACGCACACTCGCGTGTGCGTTGCTGCCACACATTTTTCCGCTTCTGTCTTCATATCCAGTTCTTGAAGAAATTGAGGAAAGAAAAGTGTTCCTGGCAGACATGGAGGCGGTGGGTCGGGGTGGCGAATACCGCGCCATTATCAACACAGAAATCTCATTGGTAAGCGTGCGCGCTCATCTGTCACTCACTCTCAAGTGAAATCCTTTTCCGTTGTTTTTGTGCAGAACACGTTTTTGCAGGAAGTTTTTTCTTGCCCGTCCCATATCTGACTCTACGTAATTTTGGACAATGTCTGCTTTTGCCGGAAGCCAGTCTGCCAGTCGCCTGCATGCTCGAAATGTTCAGCCAGAATCGAGAGTTTCAGACGTAACTATCATGACCTTTCGCGGATAGCTGGTGCAGGAGATTGCAATGATGTGATGGTACTCTGGCAAGCAGGCGAGTAGCTCGCATAGGTCACCGGGGGGGGGAGGGGGGGGGGGCACATGCCCCCCCCCCCCTAAATTTTCAACCTAGGTTCAGCATGCACATAATGACCATGAATGACATGCACCAGCCATCCTACACATATGCGGCTGTGCACCCCCCCCCCCCCTGGAGTGGGGGGGGACCAGCTACGCCCCTAGGGATGGTATTAAAATGTAGCACATCGGAGGTCCATCATAAAGCCGTTGACGCTGATCTTCAGTCGTTCACCTACCATATTCCCCCATGTTAAGCCGCCCTGGATTATATGCCGCACCGGGATTTTTGGTCACAAAACACAGACATCTATAATGTGTGTCACTGTTAGTTTGACCATCGTGTTATAATGAACTCGGATGGAGAGCCAAGGGTGGATTTAAAGTAACGAAAAAAGGACCAAAGAACCAAGACCAAGAATGAGCTGATTGTTTAGTAACTGGTGGTGTTAGTGGACAGTATAACGTAACTTGTAGTTTCTTGGTCCTTTTTCTTTACTATGAATATCGTATTATAAGCCGGACCTACATTTTCTAGGAGTGAATTACCTCTAAGTATGGATTAATAATAATAATAATAATAAAACAGGTCGCGTAATGAAGCAGCATAACGATAGATGTGCAACGTCATGATGCCTGGTCCGCTTCTGTCCTGGGTTCACTACCCCGTGCGTTGCAGCCGCGAGCAAAACCAGCTCAGGCTGAGAGTTCCCTGCATGATTGCTTGTCCAAAGCGCGCATTCTGAGCCCACTCAGATCTCACTCAGAAGTATGGATTACTGGTGTTTAAAGTGCGACTTAAACTCTGGATAACCGAAAACTCAAACCATATAGACTGTCAAAGCCATTATTCTAACGAGGCGCATATAATAACGATTTCCCAAAATTGACTGGTTTACGTGTACCAAAGGTAACGATTCTCACACATTCTCAATGCTCAATAGGACAGTATATGAGTCGATTTCTGTATAACGATTTCTATTTTAACGACAGATTTCTCCTCGTTAGCTGGTTACAGTAGCACTTCGTTATACTGTATAAGCAGAAATATTCGTCTGGAATTTAATTTCGTCTTTTTCGTCCAAGCAACTTTTGGACTAAATTAAATGTCGGACTAATGTCGATTTGTCCAGCCTTTCTATACACTCTTATGATCCATGGTCGAAATTTTCAACCGGACGAACTCCTTTTCTTTGGAGTTGGACGAAATTTTCTGCTTCGACAGTACATTAAAAGTATGGCTTTTACAGTAGATGTGGATTATTAAAAAAAGTCTGAAATTATACGTGGTCCCATGCAGTTCAGCTAGGGTGCACACTATGTTAACAAGCAAGGTCAAAATTAGTACAATCATGTAAGTACAGTAAAGCATGTCATGGCGACCACTAGAACATGGCGACCACTCGACCATGGCGACCACTCGGGTATGGCGACCACTCGGGTATGGCGACCACTCGAGTATGGCGACCACTCGGGTATGGCGACCACTCGGGTATGGCGACCACTCGGGTATGGCGACCACTCGAGTATGGCGACCACTCGAGTATGGCGACCACTCGGGTATGGCGATCACTCGGGTATGGCGACCACTCGGGTATGGCGACCACTCGGGTATGGCGACCACTCGGGTATGGCGACCACTCGGGTATGACGACCACTCGGGTATGGCGACCACTCGGGTATGGCGACCACTCGGATATGGCGACCACTCGGGTATGGCGACCACTCGGGTATGGCGACCACTCGGGTATGGCGATAACTCGGGTATGGCGACCACTCGGGTATGGCGACCACTCGGGCATGGCGACCACTCGACCATGGCGACCACTCGGGTATGGCGACCACTCGACCATGGTGACCACTCGGGTATGGCGACCACTCGGGTATGGCGACCACTCGGGCATGGCGACCACTCGACCATGGCGACCACTCGGGTATGGCGACCACTCAGGCATGGCGACCACTCGGGTATGGCGACCACTCGGGTATGGCGACCACTCGGGCATGGCGACCACTCGGGTATGGCGACCGCTCGACCATGGCGACCACTCGACCATGGCAACCACTCGGGTATGGCGACCACTCGGGTATGGCGACCACTCGGGTATGGCGACCACTCGGGCATGGCGACCACTCGGGCATGGCGACCACTCGGGCATGGCGACCACTCGGGTATGGCGACCACTCGGGTATGGCGACCACTCGGGTATGGCGAGCACTCGGGCATGGCGACCACTCGGGCATGGCGACCACTCGGGTATGGCGACCACTCGGGCATGGCAACCACTCGGGTATGGCGACCACTCGGGTATGGCGATAACTCGGGTATGGCGACCACTCGGGTATGGCGATAACTCGGATATGGCGACCACTCGGGTATGGCGACCACTCGGGTATGGCGACCACTCGGGTATGGCGACCACTCCGATATGGCGACCACTCGGGTATGGCGACCACTCGGGTATGGCGACCACTCGACCATGGCGACCACTCGGGTATGGCGACCACTCGGGTATGGCGACCACTCGGGTATGGCGACCACTTGGGCATGGCGACCACTCGGGTATGGCGACCACTCGGGTATGGCGATAACTCGAGTATGGCGACCACTCGGGTATGGCGACCACTCGGGTATGGCGACCACTCGGGTATGGCGACCACTCGGATATGGCGACCACTCGGGTATGGCGACCACTCGGGTATGGCGACCACTCGGGTATGGCAACCACTCGGGTATGGCGACCACTCGACCATGGCGACCACTCGGGTATGGCGACCACTCGGATATGGCGACCACTCGGGTATGGCAACCACTCGGGTATGGCGACCACTCGACCATGGCGACCACACGGATATGGCGACCACTCGACCATGGCGACCACTTTTCCTTGTCACGGACGCATTCACATTCAAAACAGCTCGGATAAGGCGACCACTCACTCAACGCGACCGGCGATCACCCACCCGCGACCGGCGATCACCCACCCGGGACCACGTTGCACAGTGCTAGTACATGTAAATGTATGCATTGCATGGTGCACCATGCATGGTAGATCTACACATCAGTGCAGGAAGTGTAGATGTGCATGGTGCATGCACGACAATCGACAGGTCTGAGGACCCCAGGCAAATGCGTCGTGCTAGAGTAGCATAGGTGTGTGCACTGTGATACACTGATCAACATGATGTATCACATGTGGATATGGTCACGTGACCCACTGATAAGAAGACTACCTGGCCACGGCGACCAATTGTTCTCGTCCCTTGAGGGGTCGCCTTAGACAGGTTTCACTGTCAGTTCTCTCTGCATGCAGCCAGCAGGTCATGGAGTCGTACGGACCCCGCTTGCTTGTACAACTCCCGAATTCTAGCTTGCCATGTGCAACCAGATACGGCAAAGCTTGTTGTACACATTTGAACCAGTTTGCATACAAAATCATGCACCGGTATGCGTATCGTGAGGTCCGGTTATGTTATATGCAAACATAAGTATGCTGTAAATCGGTAACCAATGATTTTTCCTCCGGGTGACGAGGGATCCGGATAAAACCGGATAAAACCGGATAAAACCGGATAAAACCGGATAAAACCGGATAAGCATTGTCCGACAGTATCCTTTCTCTCCATCATGTTTTTCTGCAGAAAATCCGCGAGCTCGACGAGATTGATCGGAAGCGTTCGTCAGCGCTGCGAGATCGTCTCCTCTGACAAGATTAGATGCAACTCACACATGCAGACCTTGCCTTGTGGAGTATGCCGTGTGGTGTACAGTGAACTGTGTGTGTGTGTGTGTGTGTTTGTGTGTGTGTGTGTGTGTGTGTGTGTGTGTGTGTGTGTGTGTATGTGTTTGTGTGTGTGTGTGTGTGTGTGTGAGAAAAGGAAGAAAAAATGGAAAAATGAAAAATAGGGATTCACTGGCCAGAAAAAGTCACTTCAATCAGCTGTGTGGTGGATACCAGGCTAAAAATAGTGGCGGTCAATTCATCAGCCTTGCAAGCTGTTGAATGGTGTAATCCCAGCACAAGTTGCTATGTCTAACATACCGGTAGCTGTTTGCTATCATCGCTTCCGCGATGTGCAGGTCTGAGGTCTGAGGTGTGTTTGTGTGTGTGTGTGTGTGTGTGTGTGTGTGTGTGTGTGTGTGTGTGTGTGTGTGTGTGTGTGTGTGTATGTGTGTGTGTGTGTGTTTGTGGGGGTGGGGGGTGGGTGTGCGGGCGTGCGTGTGCGCATGTGTGCATGGTGTGTGACATTTTTTTATTCCAACGTGCATGTGCCGAGGGGTAATCGGTGGATAGTCTGCCTCGCGTTCCGTGTACAGGCCGAGTACAGTACCTGCCTCGATGGACACGCTTTAAACTGCCAATCTGTGTGCGGTCATGGTGTCGACCTGTACCGTATTTCCCCGATTATCTCTTAATTTGCTGGCCGAAAATCCTATATATAGGATTTGAAAATGTGTGCCTTTTATGCCGTTGTTATTGGTCATCACGACCAATAATAACGGCATAATGGTTTTCATGGAAGTTGTAAATATGTTTGAGGCATGAATATTTACATTTTAGATTCATAGGGTGATAATATTTCTGATGAATACCCATTTTCAGCAATAATTGGAAATTTGAGCATAATTGTTCAGCTGCTGTCATGGAAAGGACTGAAGCAGTGAATGTGCAGAAGAACATTGCAGGTGTGGCACGGGGTGGTTTCATGACGACATATCGCACATGCCGTCATGAAACTACCAGTTTTAAGGATAAAACAAGGTCCAATAAAATCTCAAATCCTATATATAGGATTCGAAAAATAGGGCATAGGCCTTAGTAATATTGCACAAGGAGATGAGCCTGAGATGTTAGTGTTTGAAAAAATTATCTTATTCAACTCTCGATATCTACTAAAACCTAGCAAGGAAGGATTGGTCACAAACTTTTTGCTATTCTCATGCCACACCCATTTTGAGTTGAAAAATATGACCAAAATCCTATATATAGGATTTAGCAAATTAAGAGATAAGTCGCACCCCCATTTTCAGATTTGAGCCATATTGTTTTGATAGTCACATTCAGTAGTAAGTCATGCTGGATTGTAGGTCGTACCCCCCCCCCCCTTTATAACCCTTCGCTTTTAGTGTAAAAAGGTGCGACTTGCATTCGGGGGGAATCCAGTAATCATGTCCCACGGCTGCAACTTCATGTCGACGAGTGTGGCCCCGGTCCTGGACAGTCTGATATCACGCGGTGCGGTACAGAAGCGGTGCACAGCGAGTTGGATCTTTCAAGTCAGCACTCAGTCTCTCTTGCTGTATACAGACAGTTGGATCTTTCAAGTCAGCACTCAGTCTCTCTTGCTGTATACAGTCACCTGCTGCCAGGCTGCTGGAAGTGGAGTTGTGTTAGCCCATTGCGCAATGACGTAATTTATACCATAAACACCCCACACAGCCACCTGGGCATGGTCGTCCGGGGTATTGAAAATGATCCCAGTGTACTCACGTGCATTACTCACGCATTCCAAATTTAGCAATGCGCAATGGGCGTATTACCAGTGATGCATCGCAGCAAGAGTACATTATAGCAATAAAAACTGCTTTATGGCAGTTTTCTAAAAAAAGTTATTGTGTTCTAGTCCATGGACCCCGTCTGAAAAGTAAGAAATTAACGAAATGTGGTAGCTGAAAATTAAAATTTCACACAAAACCTCACAATAATCACAACACTTGAAATGCTGCTTTCAACTTTAACTTGTACTGCACCAACAATTGGCAACATGCATGCATAGGAAAGAGGATCACGAGGGGAAAAGGTCTTTTACATGTAGCTTTTAATTCTCGGTGTGATTATTGTGAGGTTTTGTGTGAAATTTCAATTTTCAGCTATCACATTTCGTTAATTTCTTACTTTTCAGACGGGGTCCATGGACTAGAACACAATAACTTTTTTTAGAAAACTGCCATAAAGCAGTTTTTATTGCTATAATTTCTTTTGTTTTTTCTGTCACCAATCAATGGAATGCCCTATAGCTATATACTCGTCTCGTGTCGTCAGGTTGAGCATCTATCCGTTTTTGTTTCGCTCTGTAAAGAGCACTTAGGGTTCCCTGTAACAAGACGGCAACGTCTGTAGGGCCTTCCCTATCAAAATAATAAATTCTACTACTACTACTACTATATCAATATGTGAATGATGGCCTTCACATCATATCAAGAGGTTTATGTACTCTTGATCATATCAATACCGTATTATACGCATTGATGTGCAAGCCTTTTCTTGCAGAAAATGGCACTAGCATAATGCATGTTCTTCTGCGGGGAAACATGTGAGTAGTGGTGGTGATACTTTTTTTATACGGAGGTCATTCTGTGCTTGTTGCTGTTGCAGAATTTCATGACTCTGTCATAAATTTGTCTTGCCTTTCAGATATTTCAGATTTCCCCACCCTCGATCAGATTTATTTGAGAATTGTAGCCATGCGCCAGGTGCGTGTCGCAGATGTTTTTGTTGATTCTGTGTTTATAATGGTTTATAATCATGGGTTATCGTGATAAGGTCATCCAGCATCATATTGCACTGAAATCGTAATCCTGTTGATGTCGATAAAACTTTTGGAAGTGGTTCAATGACTTCAAACTGTTAGTCCAAAGATTTTCTAAAACAACACAGCAAAGGAGGAACAATAAACATGATTGTATTAAAATGTAAACAAATACATTGCTGAGTCCGACACCTCGTTCCAACAACTACACTAATCCTGAGGATAAAAGGGTCAAGGCTATGGGTCAAAGTGGAGGTACTGATACTGAGAGATAAACAAGGCACTCCATGATAATAAAATCTTACACATATTTTGGTGAGTATGAATGATATCCAGTCGAACCTCTTTAGGACGATCACCAAGGGACCGATGGTATTTATTATGTGAGTTTGTCTTAACCTATTTTATAACCAGTGAATAAAATTATTTCTCCAATAGACATACGAATAGATTTCTTCTACAGCGAAAGATTCTAAGCCACACCGACTCATCTCGTGTGAAACAAGAGTCACTACAGAGGTTCTGCAAAACGAAAATGCGTACAAACTTTTGCTCTACATCATGAAGTGCAAAACTTCGCACGAACTTTCGCAACTTTGGACGCGAAACTTGCAGGGAACGCGAAATGAACTGTTGTAGGAAATTTCGTGAGATCGCGTCATGGCGTACGTGCACTTGGCCCGCGCAAACTACGAAAATGTGCAGAACGCAAAGTTCGTGCAAAAATTCGTACACATTTTGTTGTTGTTGATTTTTATTTTACTTCGCGAGGCATTTTCGCAAGGACTGTCGCGAAACTTCGTTCGAATTTTCGTTTTGCAGAACCTCTCTACTGAACCTTTCTTTAGCAACATGACGGCAACTGAAACAGCAACAGAGAAAGTACGACACATGTACTGCACATTCTTGCAGGTGCTACAGGTACTACAAACAGATTGCAGATCGTAATTCTTGCTTTGGCGGCACGAAACTTTATTTGGGGCAGTGCAATCTTGGCGGTACTCACAAATCAAACAGCCCAGACTCGAGTAAACAAATCCAATCATACAAGGACGAGATTTTCACGAGACTGCACCCATTGGCTTGTTTCGTATGAAGCAAACAAGTTACTAAACCTCTCCACAATGGAGATTTTCCCTGATATGCGAATTTATTTGGCAAACTCGGTCAATGAGTCCTTGAACCTTTCTCTCCAGATTGGGAACTGCCAACGATAGTATGCCACTGACCAGTGCCTTACTTGTAACGTACTAATGTGCAATGAATAATATGAGTACTTCGACAACACATAATTATAACATAAGCCTTACCGTCAAGAAGGTGAACTCGCGTTCTTCGCACACTGTAGGCAAGGGCAAAGAGATAAAAATGGATTTAAATCCGAATATATCAGCACACGCTTCCGTAAATGAAAGGGTGAGCATAAGCAAATGAATCGAAGGAAACTGGTCAACTCGGAGATCACCTGTCATCGAGTATTCCGTAAAAGCAGGTCTCGGCAGCGGAAAAGCTAAATATAGATAGGAGATCCTGTCAGCTTTTCCATTATTTATTGCATTCCGCCCAAAATCAGCAAACTTTTCGTAAATGAAAGAGTCAACACAAGCAAATGAATCAAAGGGAACTGGTCAACTCACCTGTCATTGAGTAATATTCCGCGAAAGGAGGTCTCAGCAGCGCCGAAATGAAATAAGCCAGGCCAGGAGACGAAATATCCGAAACAGCTCATGCATGCACATCCGAAAAGGCAACAACAAAAAGTCTGCAATGCACACGCATGCGGCCAGCCGGCCGCGCGATGGTAGGAGCCATGGGCATGTAGTAGCTCCCTGGTCCAGGACCAGGTACCGAGCATCTTACGTAGAAACTTACGTAGCTACGTAGACAACGTGTCTGAATAGCGGTGTCGTTAGGTAGCGCCATGTGAACACAATAATAGAAAAGCTGACAGGATCGCTTTTCTAAATAACCCCCTAGAGTGTGCAACGCCGATCCAGCTCTGTGTAGGGTCTTGGTCGAGCGGAATCGGATCTTCTGATGTCATGCGTACACTTCACACCAGCGCAAGGCCGGTCTCGAGGCAGGGCACCATTGTTTTTGATCCAAGAGTACCCGCGACTCCCCGGGTTCCCCTCAGATGTGTACGTTATTATGATGCAAAGATCCGATTCCGCTCGACCAAGACCCTATGCAGAG